CTCCCTGCTGCTCCATCCCTGCTTCTCCATCTCAGCTGTGGAACTCCATGCCTGCTGTTCCATCCCTGCTGCTCCCTCCCAGCTATGGGGCTCCACCCCTGCTGCTCCATCCCAGCTGTGGGGCTCTATTCCAGCATTCCCTGCTGCCCCCTCCCTTGGCCAGCCCTTGCCCTGGTGCAGGTGCCAGAGGCTGGATGTGCCGGATGGAGCAGTGTGGGTTGAGGAGCTGCTGCTTGGGGTCATCATGGTTGCTTGGGAAGGGGGACAGGCCTCGCTGGGACCTGTGCTGCACTCTGGTGCTGGCCTGGCAGGGCAAGAGGGTACAGGTACTCGAAGGGCAGCACGTTTCCCTGGCCACTTGCCCTTCCCCAGTGCCTCATCCCTCTGTTCACAGCCTTGGCACTTGGTGGCCCTGGCTCCTGCTACCCCCAGGCCTGGGCTCTGGCTGTGAAGGTTTGGGGCTGGCTCCGATGCCTGCAGCCCATGGCATTGCTTGCCTGGGTGCAGGGCTTCCAGCCTCACTTCTCCATGTAGGCACCCATGGCTGGGGCCTGGAGGCAGTTGGGTTTTCTCCTGTCATGGTCCCAGGAGCAGCCCCTTGTGTGGCACCTCCTCCAAGCAAGGAGCAGCAGCCTGCCTCCTCCTCCTCCTCCTCCATCCTACCAGCTCTGGAGCAGGGCACTGCCTGACTGCTCCTTCCATCTCTTCATCACCTCTTGGCATGTGCCTGCCCCTGCCATCTCCTCCTGGGACAGTGTCCTGCCTGCTCATCCCCTGCATCAGCCAGCAAGGCCCCATGCTCGTGGGGTGCTGTGGGAGCAGCAGGTGCCCTGTTCCCTCTGCTGGGCCCACTACATGGACACAGTCACTGTGGGGTGGCCTGAGCCTGCTGGCAGTTCGGAGGGGCCCTTTGTTGCCACTGTCCATTCTTCTCGGGCTAGAGGGCAGGGCTCTGCCCTCATGTTCCTCTGGAGACTCCAGGGCTTTCTTCCCCAAAGGGCTGTCAGGCCCTGGCTCAGGCTGCCTAGGGCAGTGGTGGGGTCTCCATCCCTGGAGGGATTCAAAAGCTCTAGATGTGGTGCTGAGGGACATGGGCCAGTGGTGGGTTAACAGTGGGACTTGATGTTCTTAAAGGTCTTTTCCAACCCAAATGATTCTGTGGTTCAGCCACCCTTGGAAAGTGTCCAACCTGGTCCCCTGCCCAAGCCCCCAGCAGGTGCAGCTTTAGGAACCTCTGAGACTGGAAGGCCCCTTCTTTCCCAGTCCCACATCTCATGTGAGCTGCAGCCTGTGTGTGCCAAAGGGCTGGGGGAACCAGGACCCCCCCCCAGCAGGGCTGGGCTGGCTCTGGAGCCCCCACTGCAGGGCAGGGGGCAGGCCTGGGCAGGATGTCTGGTGACAGGAAAGGGAGCTGGAGGTGACACTCAAGCACCTGCTGCTCCTGTCCCTGTGCAGCTCCTGCCACCACAGCCTGCACTCTGCTCTGTGCTGGGACCCTTCCCTGGGAAGCAATAACGTGGGCAGGCACAGCAGCTCCTCAGCCCCCCTGCAGCCAGGCCCACTGCTAGCACAAGGTGACCTGTTTTAATTTCTTCTCCCAAGCAGCCCCTCTTGTGGCAGACACTCCCAGGACACCAGGGCTGTGGCCCATCCCCCCCAAAGCATGAAGCCAAGAACAGCACGGGGGGGAGCATCGATTCTGGCACTTGCTCCTTGCTTATCGGTCCCACCACTGCCAGCAGGAGCTGGGTAGGGAGCTGTTGGACCACGGCTGGTGTCCTGAGGGTGGTGGGGAGAGGCTGGGGAGAGGGAGGAGCAGGTGACCATTGGTGCCCCACAGGCAGGCTCATGCTGTCCTCTGAGGGGAGGGTGTTTTGGTGCAATAATTACCCCTGCACTATGGGAAGCCCCGTTCAGTTTCTTTTTTCCCTAGCTGTCGTTGCATGTACAGACCAAATCACCAACAGTGTGGTTGTGCTTTGGGGAGCCACGTCACTTTTTTTCTTTCCAGCCCCAGCCCCCTCCCTCCCCTAGACCTCAGACCACTTGTCCTTTGGGTTCCCCCACCTCTGCTCCAGGTGCCAGCTGCCCTCCCAGCGTGGCCATGCAGTATTCCCCCAGCAGCGTGGGGCACACGCAGCTTGCACTCGAACTGGGGATTGGTTTGGGTTTGGTTTGGTTTTGGGTTTTTTTTTAATTTATTTATTTTTTGTAATTCATGTACTTGAAGGCTTTCCAAGCCCCCTGTGGAGTTGTACTGTTGCTGTACTGTGAGCTAAGTGTCCTTGTTTTCTATGTGGATCTTGACCCTGGCTTGCTGTCTCACTGGGCTGGATGACACTGTATGTTGCCTCTTTTCTCCTTCCCCCTTTCCCCCACTGCTAGCCTCCCTTTCTTCTCCCAAAGCTTTGGGTGCAAAACAGCTTCCCATTTTGTGGAATTTTTATGTAGAATAAACATTTGTAACTGTAAATCTCTGCCTGGTACCTCTCTGTTCTAGGGGAAGGGAGGAAGTGATGGGGAGCAAGGGCTGGGGGTGTGGACAATCCCAGCACCCTGGGAGCACTAAAACACCCAGGGGGGCCTGTGGTGAAGCACCCACTGGAGCAATTGCCACAGGAAGAACACTTCTGCCAGGAGGAAGATCTGCCCTTAAGGGACACACACCTTCATACTGCCCCACTCCCTGCCTTCAGGCAGAGGAGAAGCTGGCAAGGTGCTATATTCCCACCTCAGTACGCCCCTGCACTGAGGACACAGGAGAGCAACAACACTTGGGACTCATTAACTGTTTAGTAAGGAGGCTGGATAGAATGTTCTGGCTCTCCTGGAGCTCCCCGTGGAGCTCCCTGCACTCTCAGGAAGGAAAGCAATGGCATTGCAGACACCAAGTGGCCAGAGCAGTCTGCCACTCTACCTTCACCAAGTGAAGAGGGCAGGAAGCTGGGCAGTTGGGCAGCAGTGGAGCCAGTTCCCACCTCCAAGAGCCACGATCCCTGTCCCAGCAGGGAACCACCTGTGCCGCCCACGGGGGGATCAGTGCAGGGACCATCACACCTTCTTCCACCCCAGCAGTGTCCGAGCAGTTCAGAAACGAGGGCGGCGCTTCCGACCCGTGTATTTGGTGTCCGCTCGCACTTCCCTGCGGGAACAGAAGGAGGCGGGTCAGCAGAGGGGAGAGGAGCAGCGGGTGGCTCAGCACAGCGCGATCCGGCAGGAGCTGGAACTGCAGGGCCCGCCTCAGGGACCCAGCTGGACTTACTTGCCCTGTCGTCGTCTACGCTCCTTCTTCTCAAGGATCCAGTCCCGGCTCTTCTTCACAGACTTGCCCTTCATGTTTGTGAACCGTGTCCTGCAGAGAAAGTAGGCAGGGGCTGGAGAGGAGTGGAGGTGCAGGCACGGAGCTCTGCCCTGGATTGGCCAGGGCTTGCCCTCTGCCTCCCAAGGCAGCCAGCAACCCTCCCACCACCCCTGGGATGAACGAGGCTCAGGCAGCACTGGAGCAGGTGGCCAAAGAGCCCAACTCCAGATGCCCTGGGGGGAGGAGGCTCCTTCCAGCCCCTGCTCTGAGCCAGGAGGTGCCCACCCTCCATTGCTCCCTGTGCTCCATCTGACACACCAGCTGGGATCTCAGGGGAACATGGGCTCAAGCACAACCAAACACCTTCTCCTTGTCTGCTCTACTCTGAACAAAGCAGAAAAAGCCTCTAGCTTGCCAATGAGTTGCCTGTTATGCTATTGCCCTCCAAGACCAGGTACCCCCTGGACTACCTGAGCAGAGAACAGTGATGTAAGAGGCAGGAAAACATGGCAGCCACAAGCTCTGGGCGACCATGACGACTTTCCTCTATCTTTTGTTCTCTGTCTCTCCCACTGGCTGCAGGAGGGGCTGCTCCCTGCACCACTGCCATGGGAGGAGACCTGGCCAGTAGGAGAAACCCTCCAGCTCACTGCTGAGCAGAGCTAAGCAGAGTTTGACAGCAGAAGACAGGGAACACCAGGCTTCAGGCACAGCATCCTGCCTTCCCAGCAACCAAAGCCATGCTTGGTATCACCAGCACCTTCCCCTTCCCACTGCCCAGGATGCAGCACTGAGCCACAGCCAGTGCTGGACAGACACCTCCAACTCCAGGGCAAGCATCAAGCCCACAGCAAAGGCCTCCAAAACAACACACTGTGCTGCTTGTGTCTGGGGGCCTCCCACAGGACAAAACAGCACCCATCTGAGCTGCCTCCTGCTCCCTTCCCTTCAGTCACCTCTCCCTGGCAGTGCTGTGCTCCCGTCAGCAAATCCCAGCCCTTACACCCCCTCCACTCCTTCCAGCTTCACCCCACACACAATACCTCTTGTTGGTGAACTTGGCCTGCTGTATCTCTTCTCCATCAGCACATTCAGTACCAAGGCCCTGAAAAGCAGGATTTGGAAGCTCTGCTCTCCTCTGGAGTAGACAGACTCATGCCATCTAAAATAAGGAACCCAGGGCTCTGCAAGGGGAAGCACTGGAGCAGGAAGAAACTGGCCGTGCATAAATAAATGGTGGCAAAGAAATCAAACCTCAGGGAGAGAGGCCTTGGTGAGACTGACAGCAAATGTGTAAATGAAGTCACATCTACGTGTGCAGAGCTGCCACACTGTGACTTTCCCTCACCCACAGCTCCTCCACATCACCCAGCAGCCAGGAAGGCAACCCTGCTGCCTCAGGGAGGTCCTCACCTTCGGTAACGTGCCAGGTGTTCCAACGAAGAGACAAAGGAAGAACCTGAAAGAGCAAGAAGGAGGAGCATGAAGCGGGGATTCAGCACGAGCTTGTTTATAACAGGGTCAGATCTGAGCTGTAACCTCTGCCCAGGACTATCATGGGAGAGAGTAAGTCTGGGGAAAAAAAAAAAATAAAAAAAATAAAAAAATCACTGCTAAACCCAGGCCTCACCCCCAAACACAGAGACACAGGACTCACTTCTTGGCTTTGGCACTGTTGGGGTAATCCACCACCATCCCCCCAGTAAAGCCAGCTCTCATGGCCTGGGCTGTAATGAGCTCCAGCTGGAAAAAGAAGTACGTGTAGAAGTTACTTAGGTGTCATCCCCCAGCAATGCCCAGGAGACCTCTGGGCTTAACCACAGCTACCTGAGCATGCCAGGAGTTGTTCCTGCTCCTGTCAAACTCCTCACCAAGCTCCCAGTTCTCATAGTCCCACCATCTGGACACCAGTCTGCTGCCTTCAGTTGGTTCTCCCTGCTCCTGACTCTAGCCTGGGCACTCTAGGAGAGGAACACTGGGCAGGAACTGTCAGCCCTAGGGAGTCACAGGAGGTGTCAATGACTACAGGCCAGTCTGCAAAGCCAGTCACATGGGGGAAAAGCCAGGACAGCAGATTCAGATCATGTCCTGCTACTTTCTTTGATTTTAAAGCTCAGCCCAAGACAATCTGTGAAGCAACATAAATTGCAGAGGTCCCTGGGCTCTTGAGGAGCTTTAGAGCTGGCGGGAAGGGCAGAGAGACAGACACAAAGTGGAGAAACTGGAAAAAGCCCCAGAGACCTGGGGCTGTTCAGTCTAGAGAGGAGAAGGCTGAGGGGGGATCTAATGAATGTCTATCAATACATGAGGGCAGCAAGAAGGCAGGACAAGCTCTTGTCACTTGTGCCCTGGGACAGGACGAGGGGCAATGGATTCAAACTGGAGCCCAGGAAGTTCCACCTCAACATGAGGAAGAACTTCTTTCCTGTGAGGGTGACAGAGCCCTGGGACAGGCTGCCCAGAGAGGCTGTGGAGGCTCCTTCTCTGGAGACTTTCCAGACCTGTCTGGATGCCTTTCTGAGTGACCTGCCCTAAATTTGGTCCTGCTCTGGCAGGGGGTTGGACTCGATGATCTTCAGAGGTCCCTTCCAACCCCAACATTCTGTGATTCTGTGCAATATGATGCACTCAGAACCCCAAGCAGCACAGGACTCCTTTGCCTGTATCTCCTCCCTGCTGCCTGGTGTCCTGTACCTGTTCTGAGTTCTCAGGGTACAGCTGCAGGACAGCTCTGGATCCTCGGGCCTGCAGGAGATAAAAGTTGGTCACAAAAACCCCACCAGTCACCCAGTCCCAAGCCCAGACATGAGCATCTACCTCCCCAAAAGCTCCCAAAGGACTCTCCCAGGGGACCTGCTCAGGCTGCAGAGCCAGCTCCTCAACAGCAGAGCAAGGGGGTGACAGCAGGGAGCACCAGACACCCCACGGGCAGGCAAGGGGACAGGCAGTGGATTCTCCTGCCAGCCCTCTGCTTCACAGAAGCATTTAATAAAAATGCTTGGCTTCAAACCCCTTCTGAAGGGCACCAGTGAGGGTGTAAGAGCAAGCAGAGGCCTGGCTGGGGGAACGTGGCACTTACCAGGGCAGCATAAAGAGTTGAGAAGAACTTATAGAGGCGCTTTGGAGGGCTGTGGGATTTCTTGTCAGCATTGCAGAGCCACTGCACTGCAGAGATACTGAGAGAGAAAACAAGAGCCTGGAATGCTGAGCCCTCCTGCAGGGCCTCTCACCTCCCTTTCAGTTTGCTTCCAGCACTAATCCCGTGCCAGGCTCCAGGAAAACCATTTCCTTGTTTCCAGGTAGCTTTGCCTTCTGTTCTGCAGCTACACAAACCCCTCTGCCACAGCCCAAAGAGCTGCTGCAGTTACTCCAGCTCAGCAGAATCACCAAACACTCAGGAGCACAGCTGTGGCCCTTGCACGGCCAGGCAGATGTTGCCACTGAGCAATCCCAAACAAAACATATGGATCCACAACAGACAGTCCCTGCTCCTTCCCAGCACCTTTCTGAAGTCTTCTGTAAGCAGAAAAGTGTTTCTGTCTCCTTCACCTAGCTCTTCACCCCAAACCCATCTATCAAACCTTTGATCCAGGGACAGACCCTGCAGCTGAGCAGCAGTACAGACATATTTTGTTTTCCTCCTCAGAGAAGGTCTCAACCCTCCTGACAAAATCCAAAATTTTACTTCATTTACTTCCATAAACTTCCTAGCTCACCAGCACAAAAAAAAAAGAGACAAGCATTGCTTGAGAAACAGCTGCCAGGAGCTGCTGCTGCCACCCAGGATCTCAGCAGTTTGTCCTGGAGAGGTGGAGTCAAGTTGCAGGGAGCAAAAGGAGCAACTGATCAGGAGAGTCACACTCATCTGACACCCCCCCCCCCCACCACCA